TTTAGTGATTTTTTAGTCTCTCATTCTTTTAATATGAAAGAAAACACTCTTAATCCTATTTTAGATTTTTTCTACATTTAACTCATTTTGGACAATTTCTTGTAAAATTTTAGATATATATAGGGGTTGGGTTGAAATTGAGTGGGGGTAGCTGCTCCCGCTGCCCCCATAGTGGATACGCCACTGACTCAGAACCCCGGGTCTCACGACTTTTGAGTTTGGACAGCAGCCCATACACACTTACTAGATTCCCTTTATATTATTGTATAATACATATATCATTTGTATCTACTAGATTAGCTTTTAAGATAGTTGGACCTATAAGACCCATATTAGCGGCCCAGCCCATTATTTCTCTATTTATACTCCCTATAAGACCCATAATTCCTTATTCATACTATTTTCTACTATTCATGTCTTCTTTCTCTTAAGCTGTGTTTGTATTTGCGCTTTAGAATCACTTTTCAGCTTTTTAGATTATAAAAGCTAATAAAAGTGTTTGCAAAAAACAATTTGTGCTTAATTTTAAGTGCTTTTTGGTTAAAAGCTGAAGCAGCAAGTTATGTGCTTTTAAATGCTTTTTTTGGTTATTTTGTAAATAGTTCAAAGTTTGAGGATAATTTTATCCCTACTTTGTTATGTACAGACTGATTTGTCCTTCTCTTTGGCCCTACCTTCTCCATCGGGTCTCTCAAGCTAAACAATTGAGCTCTTACAAACGAAGATGAGAACATTGGTTATTTTGGGTACCTTTAACGACAGACGGAGTATGCACCGAGCAAGCACTGAATCGTGGTCTTCTGATATTAGGCGGATACCAGAGCCTGTACGGACTCGGTAAAATACTAGAGCCGGAAGAAGCGACAACCATTTTCACTAAATAAGCTGGGAGTGAAATGGGGGGACTGGATGAGCTCGGAGTGACTCCCCGGCAAGCTTCGTCGATGGAAGGAAGTGCCTCCGCTCTGAAAATTCGATTCTTATCATTGGAGACGGTGGACCGTATGTGGAGTATACCCAGTTCCTATACCGTGCAACCTGCACACAATGAGCATCATGCTCCTGTGCTCAAAACAACGCCATTTAAACATGTTGATCCCACGTGGAAAAAATCGCGTGTTACTGTTCACGAGCGTGAACAGTAACCTTTGTTTTTGTTTTTCATTGTCCAGGCCCTTGTCCAGGCCAGAATGATGTAACTCGTGTGTAATGAAATGTAACTTACGTTGATAGACAGTGTAACTTAAATCATGTCGAAATGTAAATTGTCCAAAATGGAATATAAGATGTAAAACATTGATTTCAATGTAAATAATGAAAAAAAAGAGTCTAATTGTTCAATTATTTTTTGTAAATAGTGAATATGTGTTATTTGTAATATTAGAACCATTAAAATTGTTTTTAAGAAAATTATTATTTTGTGTCAATAGAAGAGTTTATTTTGTGATGTAACTCGCGTTATAACAAATGTAACTCTCATTTATAGAAAATGTAACTCATGTGTATGTAAAGTGTCACTTGCTAAAACAAGTTTAAATGTAACTCACAGATACAAAAATGTAAATCGTGCATAAAAATGATGTAACTCCATGTATTATGATATGTAACTAGAAGTTAAAATAAATTTTGTGATTAGATTAAAGTGAGGGCTTTGCCAGAATTTAAAGGAGTTCATTCTCATCATTCTCTTCCACGTTAAAGTTGGCCTGTAAAATGGATGACCGGTTGTTTTGCCAGTTGATTTTTGGAGTAGTTTCCATCCATTGATGATGAGTTGATCTGAGATGAACTAGCTATTATTTGATCGGAAAATTATTCTTCAGAAAAATCTGCTAGCTAAAATAGATGGTCTAGCTTGTTGCGGCCAGAGCATAGAAAGCGAGGCAAGCCGTCAGTGCAAGCGGCGGCAAGCGGCGGCAGGTAAACAAAATTGGCCTTCTCCTCTACGGCTCTACCTCGCACATGGCTATGGACCTATGGCAGCACTGATTAGTAAAAATTAGTACCCAACCACCTCTTCTCCATAGACAGAGGCTCCCTGATATGAGCCGCATAGCTTCTCCATGGACGGCGGCGCAGTCCTGTTGGTGGCGGCAGATGCGATTGTGGGCGAAGAGAGAGGTTGTCTCCTTGATAATAGTAAAAGCTGGCTGTTAATTTGGAAATAGTTAGGTCTGAGCTATCGGCAAGACCGTTGATCTTCATGTTTCTTACGCTTGGAACGACACCGTTTAGGTACCAGTATACCATGCGCATGGTATACCGGTCCTACGGTATAATTTGCCTATTTTAACCACTTTAGGGAAAGGGGTAATTTTGTACTTTAATAAATCATTTTTTTACCAAACACTCCAACTTTACCATTTTTGTATAATCACTTTTATTTACAAACACTATCCACTTTTACTATAGATCACTTTTCCAATAATCACTTAAATAAATCACTTTTGAGAAGCAGAAGCAATAGCAAACATAGCCTTACTAGCTTAAACTCTCCATTAATTTTGGATACCCCTATATGGCTATATAGATGAGAGTGACTCCAAAAAAGTTTTGGATACTAACATTTCTCGTATTGCGTCAAAGGATATGGGTCATATGGAAACTCAAATGATCCCAGAGGGGCATAACTCATCATCTCCAAAAAGATACTCATCACCTGCTACTACAAGCTCATCCATACTACCAGTTACTGAAGTTCAGTGTTTCCATTCACCAAGAGAAGATACCAGGAACGTTTTAGATGAGCAGGTTACTCTGACAAGGTGGAGTAAGAAACACAAGATTCGAATTCCAGGGGCGAGTGTGGATATTTTTGATTATTGGAAAAGTAATGCTGCTATAGGACTGCATTCTGATGGCTGGGAAATTCTCAAAACAGCAAACTCTTTATCCCAGTAAGTGTATAATCAAGCCTTTTGGTTAGTTCATTACTATTTAGCAAGCTCATTCTTAAGATGCAATCAAGAAACATTGATGCTACAAAACTCAATAAATATAAACATTAAACACTGTAAACACAAACACTATGTCCATGTCAATGTATATTTGCTTTTTACATTTCCATGCGGATTCTCATGGTGGCTTTTATATATTCACTTTCTAGTTTCTATTCTGCTAGATAGAATTGATAGTAATTTGTTTTTGGATATCTTCATGCATGTGCTAATTTCTTTTGATCTATTCATTTAAGAAACACCCTTAGGGGCTTAGGGGGTACACGTTTAAAATCATACTTGTCACGGCGGTAAGTCGAGTCGTGGCGCCAGCCGACTGCCATATCGCCTAGGCGATAAGGCGCCCGCCTAGGCGACAATTAGGCGACATGTCAGGTCACATGTAATATTTAAATATACATATATATTATTAATATTAATATAATATAAAATGATATCTTACATGATCCGTATTAAATTAGAAATGTATATGAACCAACATATAACTAATATAGAATTAAATAATATATTGCAGATTAAATTACATTAATATATATATACACAACAATAAATAACTTATACTCCCTCCGTATCACATATATCTTCCCACTTCCAAAGTGGGTGAGATTAAGAATAGTGAAATGAGGTATGAATTATTGAGGTTATGATGGGAAGATGGTGAAATAATGTGATGGAATGAAGGATAAATCCAAAAAAAGTAGGTGTATTAGTGTATTATTTTTTAAATTATTGAGGGTATGATGGGAAGATTTAGAGATGGGAAGATATAAATGTTACGTCCAAAAAAGGAAAGTGGAAAGATATGAATGTTACGGAGGGAGTATTATTATATAGAGCGGATGTTCAATAGTCAATACAAAGTACAAATTTTCACAAAAGAAAATCAAGGTAAAGTGAACTCCAGTTATCTCCAGCTGTCTCCAGTTATGCTTGTACACGGAATAAAAGCAAGAATAACAAAAGAGTAGCTAAACAGTAAAACTGAGTACAGCGGCTACTTCAGTTTGAATAGTCCGCAAGTCTCAGAAACCTGGAACGGGCGAGAGAACTGGAGACGGGGGTTGGAGTAGTGGCGGGCCGGCGGCTATTTACGACAGCTACCTGAGGTGGCGACCTACGTGAGCGAACTGGCCGACGGGATGAACAGTTGCGGGCCAAGATCTCTGTCAAACCTGGGTCGGGTCGAAAAAAACAAACTTTGGGCGTCGCCACGATGACGTGCAGACGCCTAATCGACGCCAAGTTGCGCCTTGGCAGATTCAGGCGAGTCGAGCAAGCATGGCGCCACTCCTCCAGTGCCAGGACGCCTAGTCGGCGCCTAGGCGACGCCTAGTCGACGCCGTAACAACTATGTTAATTAAAATATATTTGATCTGGTTTAAATGCTTAATAACATATAGTCATATTGATAGTATTATAGATAGCATATACCCAAAATGTCATCTGTTTCATTTTTCTTTTGCTATATGTTCTAGAGTAAAAAAGGAAGAAACAAGGATAAATTTATGGAGGCAGCAATCCATAAATTTGAGGTTTTTGTTCAATTCTATCAATGTCTTGATTCAACTTTGTTTGTTTTTTCTTGACCAAGAATGCCATCTAAGGTTTTAAAAAATACTACATATCTTTTTGAAATTTTAAAAGAAATTTCGCAAATAGGAGCAAAACATTGTAATTTTCCGACGCGATTTCCACTATGGGTCCTTCAGAAACAATCTCTGTACTAGTACAGGGGTAAGGCTGCATACATCCGACCCCCTTAATTACCCAACCGTAGGGGGAGCCTTTGCGGCATTTTTCGTCCACTCACTACTTTTTACTCCTATTTTGGGAGTTCTAAACATAGCTACTCATATTTTTGCACTTCTACCTTTTTTAATCCTAGTGTAGTGCTTTTCTCAAATATTTAACTTTTGATTCTCCTTTTGTAGTGAATATGTACACCATGAATAGTCGCCACAATTAATTAATAAAATTAATGATATTAATAAATGTAAATACAATTTCTGCAAAAGAAAAGAAAAGTTATTATAATAATGATTAATGAATGGTACATTTGAAAATAGCAACATTGATTGTGTTGAGTTTTTTCTTGCTTACATCTACTAAAATGTGGAATCTACTTTTTCAAACTCTATTCAAGTAAGAATCTTATATCACATAAGGAGAGTGAAATTAGAACTTCCTATGCCAAAAGGCTAATACAAATTGACAATATGAGTGTTGTTCAGGTGAAGCTGCAGAAGAACTGAAGAAGTGATCAACGTCTATCGATAAGATCATGAACAAGTTAAGATCTGCACAGAAAAAGGCAGCAGAAATGAGAACCTCGATGCTGGCAGCTCATAATCAAGAAGATATAAGATTCTCTTACAGGGCCTTAACTCGATCTCCATCGGACTCATCATATAGATTCATTATATTTGGTGGCTGCTTTACATGCCATGCATTTTAGTTATTCTGATCCTATCTTTTCTTACAGGGCCTAATTCTGAGCCTAACATCTTTAAGACACTTATTTTTTAATATTATTTTGGCAATTGTGTTTGTTTTCAATAACTCTTTAAGAGCTAAAGTTTGTGAGTTGTAATGCCTAGCCAAGTCATTTGTCAGTTTGTCACAAACTGGGGAAAAAGTGATGGTTTCTAGTCATTGCTTTAGGATCTTGTATCGTGAAAAAGAACCTACCCAATTAGCACATGTAGAGTTAGCTTATCTATTTCAAGGTTTATGGGCCATACTCTGTTATCAGCGTATTCCATGACAAGAATAACTTCATAATAAGAATAGCAAACAAAAAATATAGAAAAAACATTTTGTACCTTCGTCTGTCTCACGCGCAAAGAATTGTCTGTCCGCAGACGACTCTGTAAAATTGTCTGTGGACAAACAATATTTTGTGCGTGAGACAGACGAATGTACAAAAAGTGTACACAAAAATGTGTACACCTAGCACAACTCAAAAACATATTCTTCCTAATAAGTAAAAAAGTGTCTATGGATTGGGTATAGTATGTACTTCGTATATATTAATGGTTATGAACAATGATATATTTGATCGATGCTCCTAAACATAATAATGTCACAAGCAAACATGAGGAGGTAAAATAATTCCTTACCAATTATATCTGATGGAAGTATATCTATGAATCTTGTAGATCAATCACATTTTAGACACTGCTGTTGAGCCGGTTCTGGGAAATGAAGTGATGCAGGTGGCGTTCCTAATCGGATGAGGTTAACATAATCTTGAAACCCATGGTCAATTAATCCAGTAAACATTATCCCTATGATCCTACATATTATTAAGACCCACCCCTCTCTGTAATCTTCCCCTAATATCCAAGGAAGCATAAATCCTCTCATCACCTCAAAAAGAGCATTAAACTTCTTAGGGATCATCCACAGCAGTGAGAAGTAGTTCATGTTAGGTTCTTCCTCAAGAACCTGCATTAGACCCAGTAGTTTTAGGATCTTCATCACAAATAACTCATAACACATACACACAGATGCCAACATTGAGAAACAGTGAAGTACTCCGAATGTTGGATTATTATTAACTTCACTGTATGCTGATCATTAAAAATGACAGAAATTGTGTAATGTTGTAGAACAATATTTTTCTTTAATTTTGCTCTGTCTGGTAATAGAGACAGGGCGCGCATAATTATGCCAATCCATAGCTATGACACTGGAGTTGGAGTGTAAAATGCGCGCCTGATTTGTTGTGTACAACTGGTAATGTTGTTATTCGTTGTGACCTGTGATTAGTATCACTAAGTACAATTAATGTCATTTGTGTATAATATTAATGCCGTTTTGTGTATTGAAGTTTGGCCAAGTAATGCTGTCTCCAAAAATGAAACTGATTTTTTTTATTGATAGAATTGTAAACAATCAAATATAATATTTTTGTTTGTATGAATTGTGCTTTCGACGTACGGCAATGCCTCAATCAAGGGAATACCCAAAATTATTTTCTCCAATAAATGTAGTCTTGTGGTATTGGGATTAAGTGATGTATACTATACGTGAATATAAAGCAAACACCTTTAGGCTCTGTTTGCAAGTGATAGTGTTTAAATAAAAGCACTTTTTGGGAAAAAGTGATTAGTAGTAAAAGTTGGTAGTGTTTATAAAATAAGTGATTTTTGTGTAATAGAAAAAGTAAAAAGTAGATTCTACTTGAATGCAGAGTAAAGTAAAAGTTGATAATGTTTGGTAAAATAAGTGATTTTTTCATAAAAAAAAGTCATAATCACTTAAAATAAGGGTTTGCAAACAGATTCCTAATATGTACAAATAGAGTACTAGAGTACGTAGTAGATACCTTGCCGTGGTAGAAGCTGTTGTAGTAAAGGCAAGGTCCAAAGTGCCTAAAGAAGTTAGCCTCATCATCGTAGGGCACCCTAGGCACAATGTCATTAGCATAAACATACCTAAAATAACGTACCCCATATTTCCTCAGTAGGTTCTCCCCCACGAACATTCCAAACTCCACATCCCCCACTCTGGGCTGCCCAAAAGTGTAAATCCCTTCCAGCCGGCCCAAAAGCCCATCCTCTTCCTCCATGGCCAGAACCGCTGCGAATAAAATTGATAACGCCCCTCCTAAGCTGTGGCCCGTCAATATAAATTTCGCATTCTTGTTAACGGAAATAATTTCTCTCAACTTCTCCTGTATTTCGTAGTAAGCGAGCTCGGACATGTCTGGGCCTCTTTCTATCCCGTTGGGCCGGACGTTGTTCTTCCGTAAGCCCAAAGCCCGCATGAACCCGGCGTGGATTCTGCCCACCCCTTCGATCTTGTACCAGGAAAGGTCCGCATCTGTCCGCAAATCGTCAGCGCTGAACGGCTCTGTTCCCCTGAACGCGACCACGACTAGGTTTGGGTCGTCGGATTTGTCTTGTAACATGATGGCTTGTGTTGATTTATCCTCCGCATTGTCTGTTCTAATCATAAACAGAAAATTATAAACAATTTTTTAAGATGAAATTAAAACTCTACTCCATTTAACAAAAGGTATAATCCAAGAACCACATTTACTACAATTTGGAGAATTGAGATATGACATTTACAAATTTGAAAACACAAGTCTAAAATTTCAATATATGTACTATTTGAGGGACAAAAAAAATATGATTTTCCTATGATATAATATAAAATGCACTATTTATCGAGATATTCCGTACTAGTTTTCGGGTTTTAATGACTTAGAGTAAGGGTATGTTTGCAACATCTTCTACTTTAAAAAAAATGCTTTTTTTAATGAAATGAGGAGAAGTGATTAAATAAAAGTTGATAGTGTTTGAGAAAAAAATGATTTTGAAAAGTAAAAGTTGATAGTGTTTGGTAAAATAAGCGTTTTTTGTGTAATAGGAAAAGTAAAAGCACTTTTGACACGAAAGCCGAGAAAAATAAAAGTTGTAGTGTTTGGTAAAAGAAGTGCTTTTTAAAGCCAAAAGCTGAGAAGTGCTTTTTTAAAAGTGATTGCAAACCAACCCTAAGTAGTCAACACATCAATGAGATCAAGTTGCACCACAAACTAAGTCGAATTACGTGAAGGATTTGGGTTTTTAAATTAAGAGGTCGTTTGGTAACACTGAAATTGGCTGTATTGGCTGATTCTGTTGAAATTTATGAAGTTCTGGTTGAAATGACTGCATTGGCTGATTCTGCTGATTTATGAACAAATTATATATTTAAAATATTTGTTATTAATAAATCAAATAAAAATTATGTGACAAATAGTTAAAATGATCTTCTATAGTAACTTCAGCCAATACTGCCAGAAAAGTAACTCCAACCTTACTTTTTCTTATTATTACACAATTCAGCATGTGAAAGTGAAAGTTACGTGTTTGGTGAAAAATCGAGCTGATAAGCCGAAAAAAGGTGTCATCAAACAGGCTCTAAATTGAATAAGTAAGTTGGTACCTATTGGGGAGTACTTTTCTATATTTGTCTATATGCCCTTCCAGTCATATTGGATGTTTTTGTTTTTGTTTAGCATAGTTATTAGTATTGTGGTTAAATAAGACAAATAAAACATATTGAACGTATAAATTACAATTATGGTTGAGACATTCATTTTGGGACAACAAAAAAAAGATAATAAAACAACCAAAGTTAACTAGACGGAAAGCGTATTTAAATTGAAAAGTAAAAACTACTCTGTAATAAATGAATATGATTGTTCTTAGGCTTTGTTTGCAAACAATTAATTTAAGTGCTTTTGCCTTTTTTTTTAAGAAAAAAACACTTATTTTACCAAACAATACCAACTTTTACTTTCTCGGTTTTCATGTAGAATCTACTTTTTACTTTTTCTATTACACAAAAAGCACTTATTTTATCAAACGCTACCAATTTTTACTACTAATCACTTTTTCCCAAAAAATGCTTTTATTTAAACACAATCACTTTCAAACAGAGTCTTAATGAGGAGTACTATAATCAGCTGGGCCGCCTGTGCGTTTGTGCGAGAGGCAATGTTTTTTTTACCGCTTTGGAAATTCTTGAACTCCAAAAACTCCATCTGTTCAAACAAATAAAGAAGTAAATAAAATATTGTAAAGAAGGGGTCCATTCACATACGTTCTCCAGATCGAGGTTTATCAGAATAATAACAATAACTTGGTTATATTATTATCATAACCTTCTTAATCTTAATTATACACGTGAATGGGAGGTAGTACGTAGTTTTTAAGGTGTTTCTAATTTTGATGATATCCAAAAAAATTCAAGATTTTGATCATTACATCATAAGGTGGAAGATCAACTGGAAGTGCATACACCGGCCGGGGGGGTGTAAACGGACGTATCACAACTCTTTTTTTTTTTTTTTTTGTCTTTTTCGTAATAATGGTATAGTAGCTTGGTGAACATTAAGTCTTAACCTTTAGTAAATAAAATTTCGATAAAAAATAAACGTTTAGTAAATAAATTTTTGATTTTACAAACGAAGAAAATCTAAAAATGTGAAAACCGACTTGAGTAGTTTTTTATAATGACTTCCTTTATGTAATGTTCAATGTTCAATTCCAAAAGTCTTAGAGATATTTTGACTTTGCAACTCCCTTTTGGGTGCTATTGTACTTGACATCCTAGTTTCAAAACTTTTAAACTTTACATCCTATTTTCACTAAAAGTCTTGTCTTTGCACCCCATTTAGGAATTTTTCTTCACAAATTAAAGTGTTTTGAAAATGGACATCAAACTCTAGTATCACCCAAAAAGTGGGATGCAAAGTTAATATTTTCCTCTGATTTACCTCTTTTTAATTAGTTAGTAATTATTCAAAAATAAAAATATACTCCATTATATTTTTATTGTAACATTGTCTCTATTTTTACATTGTAGTAACATTGTAATAGTAGTAAGATTTTCCATTATATATATGGACATTGAATTGCCTCTAGCTATTTTTACAATATTATTTTGAAACTAGTATACGACAAGCCCTAATTTTTTAGGTGATATTAAAATTTAATTTCCACTAATTAACTAATAAAATTAATTACTCGGACTAATATACAATTAGTTTCAGTTCATAAATTAAATTACCTTCCAGTTATTGGTGATTACTTTTTGAACAAAGTCTTTGTTTTCATACGAAAGCTTAGCAGCCATGATAGATAAAAGTGGTGTATATCGGCTGTCGCCATTCTTGATATCGGGGTCAAAGTCAACCCTATTGTCCAGGATTGCCAGAAATGATCTGAAATTCTCCGACGTCGTTTCCGGCCTAACCATGCTCCCTGAAAACCCATGCACAATCACTCAAGCAAAAATCATTCACAAATTAATATATAAACCCATCAAAATAATGTAAATAAAATTCTATAATAGGAGTATTAATTTTTCTCTCAAAATACTTCGCATGACTCATTACTGTCATATTTAGAAAATACGTAGTACCATTGTTAATTTGTTACTCCCTCCGTCCCATTTATATTGTCCCGGAAGAGGGTGACACGGTTATTAAGAAAAGTGGGTTTGTGTGGTTGATATTAATTGATAAAGTAAGAATAAAGTAAGAATGATTTAGAGCCACACAAACTTTGCCAAATATGGTATGGGACAATATAAGTGGGACTTCCCGAAAAGGTAAAACAGGACAAAATAAATGGGACGAAGGGAGTATCAATTATCATCCGTGTCCCAAATTGTTTTGAAAAGTCAACAATGTTAAAGTTAAACCCTCCATTAGTGATAATTAATTCATTTGTGATAATTAAAATTCACACATTCACTAACTACATTAAAATCTCTCTAAAGTTACAAAATCTAGATTAAATTTAATTATGAATTGATATCCTAATTAAGTGAATAAAATGAAACTGCTTAACTCAAAAAGTCAAATTTGCAACTCAATTTGAGACAAATGGAGTATTACATTATTATTGATTAATGCTTGACATGCATTTTCCTTGGGCCTAGCTATTTTCAATTTAATTTATTTGCTTTCCCTTCATTTTCCCTTTTGTACTTCTTTTTTCTGCTTTATTTCCTATTTTCGCACTGTAATCTTTCTTTCATTCTACAATAAAATTTCTCTTTTGTCAAAAACAAAATTAATGCTTGACAATCCCAAAATATGATAGTGATTCCAGGGAAAAACTAATTTACTAGATCTTATATATTTGAAGAAAAATAAATAAGAAAGAAATTGAGTGTGAAATAAGAAAAGTAATTGGGTGTGAAATAAGAAAAGTAAAAATTGTGTGGTTGAGATTTGTGCAGTGGAGGAAGAAATGAACAAATTACAAATTTATTTCTCTAAAAAGGAATGTGACAAAGTTTTTAGACAAACAAAATAGTAAAGTTGGCAAAACTCACTGAGAGCATCTCCAATGCTACAATGTGCACGGTGCATATGTGGCATGAGAGATATAGGCACAAAAAGTTGATTTTATGACATTTCTATCTCCTTCTTTCCCCGGTCTTATGTGTTTTTGGTAAGTTTTTGTCTGCAATGTCAACCACAATGTCTACATCTAGACATTGTGTTTGACATTGTGAAGAAAAACTTACCAAAATGATGTAAGATCCTTCAAATAAGGAGAGAGAGATTCTATTTATTGTTTTTTAATTGGTCATTTCTCATGTCACGTATGCACTGTTAACGTTTTAGCATTGAAGATGCTCTGAGACCGATAGTTTATCATAATACATACCTTAATTTGAATCTTTGTATATAATTTTACAAAAAACAGAACCCTATATATATGCAGTTCCACACTTCCACCGTTCAGCGGCAAGCGATGCATGCATGTATGAAATCAAACGTGCACTTGCTACTTTGTTGGCTAGCTTTGAACGTACGTCAGAAAATACTCCGACATACGTACGTGGACCGTGGTTATATTTTTTTTCTCTTGTTTTAATTTTTAATTAACTATTCAAATTAATTGGGTATTACAAACATACATACGTGCTTGGGTAAACAATTTCTTGACATGCTTTTTGAGTTGGACCCTTCCATTTGATCCAATATGAATAGTCATGATGGATTTATGGGGAACGACCAGGCCGGGTCTGGTGTTTTTGAAATTTAAAAAGAAATTACTATTGATATAACATTGATCATCATAAAATGTGGGGCTTAAAATTGGTGTTTTATAACCCCAATTTTTGGCTGATCAGCTAATTTTTTTGTTAGACACAGTAATTTTATATTTCACATGATGAGTAATGTAATAATAAAAAAATAAATAAATTTAGAGTTGTTTTTCCTGATGAATTGGCCGAGTTGCTGTAGATTGATCATTTCAGCTATTTTTCATATAACTTTTTAATTATTTTAGTAAAATGCGATGTATATTTTAAATACTACATATACTTTTTCACAGTTCAATAGATTCTGCTAATTTAGACACTTCATCTAGAATTATATCAATTTCAATAAATTCAATCAATTCCAGCAGGATTTATATTTTGTATATCAATTCAAATTTTAATTGAATTGGCTTACATGAGAATATTTAACTTTGCCATTAAGCATTAAAGCGGAAAGTCTCGGGTTTTATAGTTTCAACTCTCAACCTATGAAGGATTTTTCGAAATTATCTAATGTGGTCTGGTCTTATATATATAAATATGGTGTAGTATGTTCTGTTTTGGACAAAGTATGTATTTTACAATTATTGAAATCTAATCTACTCAAGTATGATTTGATTTGTTCTATTTAAGTCCGATCTTTTCTGGGTTGAAATCAGTGCAACTAAAGACATCACAAGAATTATGAAGTAGTACATATGCAATATGCACTTCCACACAAAGATCTTAATTATGTGCTTACTTAGAATGTTTTTACTCAGACTGAAATTTGCTTGTCTGGTCTGGTTTGGTCTGGTTTGAACTTTCTATTCTGGTCTGGTAAATGTCTGGTCTCTATGTATTTTATAACTATGGAAGTCTGGTCTGGTCATGTCTGTTTAAGTCTGGTGTGGCCTGGTCTGGACTGTTTAGGTCTGGTCTGGAACTGAAAACAGTCTAAATAAAAACATCCTTATGGGCTAGTTATGGAGTTCCTAGTACGCGCGTATGCACGAAGATCTGCATGATAATTAAATAATTGTAGTAATTGCATGCATCTAAGGGATTCTAAGCTACGTACTTACCCGTAAGAAAATTGAGAATGAGGCGGACATAACCACCGTTAAAGGAAGGATAGTTGAGAAATATCTCTAAGCTGGATCCTAACCATGCCAACGGCGCTTTCAAGTAAATGAGAACATTTTTAACGATAACGGAGACGAGAACGAGGAACCGGGTACGGAACCTCAACCGCCCGGTGTCGGTCTCTGCCGGAGAATCGAAAAAGTCTCCGGTTTTCAACCCACCGGATGAGAACAAGAACTTCAGGAAACCAGAGAAGCTAGCAGCTGCTCCTGGTTTCAGCATAACATAATCGGAGCAAAGCTCTTCCTTACCACCCGGCGCCATAGTTTAATTGATTTGAATTAATGAAGGCAAAATTTGATGTACGTATGTCTTAGCTTCTATATATGTCAAAATTTAATTTGGATGTTTTATAGCTAGCTTTTCCCCAGCCTTTAGCTAATTTCCTAAATCCACAGTTTACAATTTATTACTTACCCACTCCGTGTTGGTATTATGTTCCCCATTTGACTTTAGGGGATTTAACGGAATTATATTGTGCCGTTAAATGTTACAGTATTTATTTATTATTTATAAATGAGAGCTAGAATCAGAAGGAATTAATAGCAACCACATCATGTTTTCTTTTGAAGGAAATGGGAAAGTTAAAAATGGAGGACTCGAAGGGAAAATACCAAAGATGATAAAAAGAAGACGTATGGAGTAGATGTTTGGGAAAGATGATATATACCGTCCGATATTAAATAAATGCAACATATGAAATTTTACATTATTCACATGTTCTACTTTGACTACGTTTCATTTATCAATGTATTAATATTATTTTATGAAAAAAATATTGTTAAATTTGTCTCATTGTAAATTTTCAAAATCTATTTTTTTTACTAATTCAAAATTATATATATTAATGATCAAAGTTGTGTCTCGGAAAGTGTGAAATGTTGACCGTTGCATTTATTTAAGAACGAAAGAAGTACTACGCATTTGGGTTATGCTAGACTTCTTCGGTTCAGTGTTGTAGCTAGGGTTTCGGAAATTAAAAATAGAAAATCAGATAAAAAATGGAACCACCAATTGAAGAAATCGGGTCTAGTGTATACAGTGAAATCCGCGAACCCAGATTCAAATTTTCTCTAGTATAGGTCAAAAATTCTCAAATCTTTAAAATATAATCAGTAGATAATAAAGAGTATCGATTTCCGACTAACAAACAAGAACAAAATCTGGAAATAATCGAAAGATTTGTGAAGATCAGAGCAGTAGTTCGAGCGACCCAGATACTTCCGACCCCAGGGGTGCGAAAGTTTCTAGTGGGAAGCCGGAGAATTTCCCTACGCGAACTATTACCTAAAAACTAAGATATGGCCATACGGGTAAACTTTTTATAGTGACTAGCTCCACCGCTTTCACGGATCCTTACCCCAGAAACCCAACTTTGGCTTGGCCTTACGGGTTAGTATACACCGCTTGGCCCTACCACTTGAAGGTTTTTTTGGGGAACATAGTTCCACTGGTGCTAGTGGGACTCGAACATGAGACCTCTCCTATGCAGGGTAACCTCACAACCAGTTAGGTTGGAAGTGATGGTTAAAACTAAGGTATGTGTAAACTTTTTATAGTGACTAGCTCCACCGCTTTCACGGCCCCTTACCCCAGAAACCCAACTTTGGCTTGACCCTACGGGTTAGTATACACCGCTTGACCCTACCACTTGAAGAGTTTTTTGGGGGAGCATAGTTCTACTGGTGCTAGTGGGACTCGAACACGAGACCTCTCCTATGCAGGGTAACCTCACAACTAGCTAGGCTGGAAGTGATGGTTAAAACTAAGGTATGAGTAAACTTTTTATAGTGATTAGTTCCACCGCTTTCACGGCCCCTTACCCCAGAAACCCAACTTTGGCTTGGCCCTACGGGTTAGTATACACCGCTTGGCCCTACCACTTGAAGGGTTTTTTGGGGGAGCATAGTTCCACTAGTGCTAGTGGGACTCGAACATAAGACCTCTCCTATGCAAGGGTAACTTCACAACCAGCTAGGCTGGAAGTGATGGTTAAAACTAAGGTATGGGTAAACTTTATATAGTGACTAGCTCCACCGCTTTCAGGGCCCCTTACCCCAGAAACCCAACTTAAGCTTGGCCCTACGGGTTAGTATACACTGCTTGACCCTACCACTTCATGAAGGGTTTTTTGGGGTAGCATAGTTCCACTGGTGTTAGTGGGACTCGAACACGAGACCTCTCCTATGCAGGTTAACCTCACAACCAGCTAGGTTGGAAGTGATGGTTTAAACTAAGGTATGGGTAAACTTTTCATAGTGACTAGCTCCACCGCTTTCACGACCCCCTACCCCACAAACCCAACTTTGGCTTGCCCTACGGGTTAGTATACACCGCTTGGCCCTACCACTTGAAGGATTTTTTGAGGGAGCATAGTTCCACTGGTGCTAGTGGGACTCGACCACGAGACCTCTCCTATGCAAGGATAACCTCACAACCAGGTAGGCAGGAAGTGATGGTTTAAAACTAAGGTATGGGTAAACTTTTTATAGTGACTAGCTCCATCGCTTTCACGGCCCCTTACCCCAGAAACTCAACTTTGGCTTGACCCTACGGGTTAGTATACACCGCTTGGACCTACCACTTGAAGAGTTTTTTTGGGGAGCATATATAGTTCCACTGGTGCTAGTGGGACTCGAACACGAGACCTCTCCTATGCAGGGTAACCTCACAACCAGCTAGGCTGGAAGTGATGGTTTAAAAACTAAGGTATGCGTAAACTTTTTATAGTGACTAGCTCCACCGCTTTCACGCCCCCTTACCCTAGAAACCCAACTTTGGCTTGGCCCTACGGGTTAGTATACACCGTTTGGCCCTACCACTTGAAGGGTTTTTTGGGGAGTATAGTTCCACTGGTGCTAGTGGGACTCGAACACGAGACCTCTCCTATGCAAGGATAACCTCACAACCAGCTAGGCGGGAAGTGATGGTTAAAATTAAGGTATGGGTAAACTTTTTATAGTGACTAGCTCCACCGCTTTCACGGCCCCTTACCCAGAAACCCAACTTTGACTTGGCCCTACGGGTTAATATACACCGCTTGGCCCTACCACTTGAAGGGTTTTTTGGGGGAGCATGGGCAACGGTGAGGAGATGCGGCGGCATCGACGATGACTTGCGGCTGCGGCGTTAAGACGTCACTAGGTCAACACACTTCAAACCCTCATGAAAACCAGCCCCTCTAATAGGAACCTGGGCCTAATAGTAGACTAATAATAATAGTAACGGACCGGGCTTATTAGAAGTATTAATAATAAGAAGTGTTTTGAGTCTAGTATAAATAAGTAGATAGCAAGGGAAGTGGGGCAGGCGGTTTTAGACTTTGACTTTGGGACTTTGGGAAGATCGAGAACTTTCTCTTTCTTGTGGGGGGCTTCGGCTCATTGGGGGCTTCGGCCATACTCTCTCTTCTATTTCTGTAATTGTTCTCCTTCATCAATAAAAAATTCTTCTGTTTCTTGTTAATTTCTCTGTTAATTGTCTGGATTGCTGGAGATCCCTATCAATTGGTATCAGAGACCTGGTTGTAGCTTTGGATGGTTGGCACGAGGAGGAAAATGGAAGGGAGAATGACGGAGATCGAGCAGAAGGTCGCGCGAGGTCAGCAGGAATTAGGTGCGAAGATTGATACGAAGTACGAAGAACTGATGGCGATGATGCAAGCTGGATTTGCCGAGTTAAAAAATCAAAAACCAGATCGCTCGAGGAGTAGATCGCATCGTTCGACGTCTTCGCACCACACTGTTCAGCATCGATATACGAAGAACAATGATTCTTCAGAAGATTCAGACAATAAATCTGAATATTCGGTATCGCAGAGTCATCGCGATCGAAATCGCCACTACAGGCGTCCACTTCCAGTTGGTAGAAAGATCGATTTGCCTATCTTCAATGGAAGCGATGCTAGCGGTTGGTTGATGAGGATAAATCGCTACTTCCGATTGAATAACACGGAAGAAGAGGAAAAAATTGATGTAGCGGTGCTCGCAATGGAAGACCAAGCTCTCAGCTGGTTTCAGTGGTGGGAGAGGCAGGCTACGCATCAAAACTGGAACTCTTTTACTCAAGCTTTGACCAGACGCTTCCAGCCAGACATGGTCAAGGATCCCCTGGGGCCTTTATTCAGTTTGAAGCAGAAAAACACCATAGAGGAATATCGAGACAAATTTGAGACTGCAATTGCGACACAGGGACACTTAACTGAAGAGGTTTTGAAAGGAGCGTTTCTTAAGGGCCTTAAGCGTGATGTAAGAGCTGAGTTGAAGCTATACTCTACAAGAACTTTGGCTGAAGTTATGGATGTGGCTTCTTTAATTGAGAACAAGAACACTGAAGTTTGTATCATGAAGAACAAAGATGAAAGGAAGAAGAAATGGCATGGTAATAGTCAGCATCATAATTGGGAGGATGAAAATAAATGGAAGAATCAACTTGTTAACTCTATTAGTTTGGACAAGGCTACAGTTGATAACAAGATAAATTCTGATGTGCAAGAGCAGAACATGATAAGGAATGGCTCCAGATTATCCCAAGAAGAATTATTAGATAGAAGCAAGAAGGGACTCTGTTTTAAATGCGGTGAAAACTGGGGTAGGAGACATGTTTGCAAGATGAGGAACTATAAAATGATCCTAGTGGAGGAATCTGAGGATGAAGCTGGTTCTGAAGTTGAATTACTGGAGTTTGGAAAAGATAACACCATACCTCTAGAATTAAAGACCATGCAGTTTTCAGTATTAGGTGAGGAGGGCATACCATTTAAGAAAACATTTATGGTAAAAGGAGGAATGAGGTGGCCTGATGGAGAACTAACAGTGAATGTACTTATGGATAGTGGTGCATCTCACAATTTTATCTCACAAGACTTGGTGGAAAGATGGAAGATCCCTTACACTCCAATTCAGGAATACAAAGTACAAACTGGAAATGGAGATTGCATAACCAACTATGGCAAGTGTGCAGGAGTGGGCCTGAACGTACAAGGGGTGGAGATTCAGCAAACATATTACTTAATGGAATTGGGAGGCATTGATGTAGTCCTGGGCATGGAATGATTAACTGATTTAGGTGATATGGAAGTTAATTTCCAAAACCTGATCATAAAATGGAAGAAGCAAGGGCTGAATCATATAATTCAAGGAGATGGACATCTGTGGCACGGGGAGGGACAAAGTAATGAGTTAAAGCAAGAACAGTTAATTGAAGGCAGAAGAAATGAGTTTAGAAAGGAGTTCCCTGAAGTTTTCAAGTCAATTCTGGATAGAAGGTCCTGGCGTTTGTGTAAATCTGCTATCAAACGCATAGGG